TAAAAGTTAAGGGGAAAATCCAAGTCCATCTCCTTTATCATTAAGAAGCAAAAAACAGAGATGCACACATTCTGCCCCGTCAGGTCACCTTTAAGTCAAAGGCAGCAGGGAGTCCTGCCAAGGTGCTGATTCAGCACCCACTTTACGCTATACTTCAAGCAGGAATCTCATTTGCATCTCTATTGCTTTAATACGTATTTTCTATACCAGCTCTTGACTTCCTAGAATAGTGATTCTCAGCTGGGGTACTGTGGCACCCTGGGCACACAATGTTAATGCTATTAGGTATGCCAGTGTGATTCACATGATAAACCCAGGGCTTTCAAATTGACAGCCATAGCTATGATCTTTCCGAGTTCACAACAGAAAAACTGCTCTATGATTTTTTTCTGTGGTCAGAAAAAAGAAAGTGAGAATGAAGAAGTAGCCTTTTCTGAGGGGTGCCTCAAGTCTATAAGGGTTGAGAACTGCTGTCCCAGAGCCTGACTGTGATGGAGAGAACTGCTCGGTGGAGGGATTGTGATATTCCCACCCTGGGAAGGCTCCTTCTTTTTCTTTTTGTTTGAGTACATTTTAATCACTCCAGTTGTCCTCCTTTAGGCTTTACATAATACCAGGGCTTTTCTGGTTCAACTGGGGAGAAACAAACTCTCCCTTCAGGTGCCACTTTGGGAATTCCCAGTGTGGGTGCGGCTCCGGGCTCTACCGAGGGAAGCCCTGCTGCGCTTGGCAGTGCCCTTGCTTTGGGTGGAAGCTCTTCAGGGCCTACATCTCCTTTAGCAAGTACAGCCACCAGCCCTGCCAGCTGAGGAGACCCATAGCCTGGTCACAGTGGCGGGGATCAAAGTACTCAGGGAAGCTGGAGGAAGACGGGCGTGCCCTACCTGCTAAGGCACTGGTGCTGCCGTGGGCCCAGCAGGACCCGCAGTACTGAGGAATGTGCTGGTTGCGGGTGGTGCTGGCATAGTTGACGCCATCAATGTTGCGCCAGTCCCAGCTCTTGGGGAGCTGAGCAGTGTTCAGGTATTCGTGGGGCCGCGGGTAGGTTCTGCACGGAAAGGAAAGAACTGGTCACGCTGGTTTTCCCCCTGATCTCAGCAAAAAAAAAAACCCAACCCAACCAAAACCCTCCATGACCTCAGCCCTTCCATCCTGGCCGGAGCGCACGTGACAGCTGCCTCGTGACACTGAGCACGGGGACGGGGCTCAGCCCCAGAGCCATCCAGGCGATCTCTGGGGGAGCCCGGGCGGGCGGGCAGCGCGGGCCAGCGCCCGGCTCCGAGGAAGCCTCGCACAATGTGAGCCGGGCGGCAGAGATCCCGGCCCGGGCGCGGCTCGATGCTCACCTGACCCCGGGC